CAGGAATGCAAAGAGGTCGTTGCATATTTTAGCCATCAGTTGTTGGATAGCCTGCAGAAAGCCACTCGATTGTCTTTGGATGCTCTTAAAAGAAGAATATTTGTTGCGAGGTATATTCGTTTATTACTTTTATATCCCACCCTTTATGAAACACAAGGCGGCTTATACATGTTTGATCAGTAATGAAGTCTATATGATCATGACTTACCAAGTCTGCTAGAATAACTTGCATTAAAAGCCAATATACATCAGGTTACTTCATAACATTGAAAACATCTGAAATAAGATTCCGTGCCAAATGCACAGTCCTCTCAGGATAACCTCTGTTAATACATTGCTGAGACATTATGGAACTATTATGTGCAAAGTCTTGTATAGAGGTGGAATATTACTGATCAAAAGTGTATGTCTCATTTAAATTACATTTTAGACATTTTCTGCCATTGTGCAACTCATTTCACCAAGGGAGTTTCTGGATTATTAACTTCCTCCAGACTTGATGATTATTTTTGAAATGGAATTCTTAACCGGTTGCCCGTATCTTCTTGCTCTCTAATTGTTATATATTTGTTCTTCTTGCTCTATAATTGTTAAATATTTGGGGTTATTGTTTATGTATATCATTTATGTTTCCTGGATATTGTTCTTGTCCACTCTAATACATTATTCTAGCATTTGAGCAGTGTCTGTAAATAGTCACACAAAGCAGAGGTTTCAAAAAGTTCATTTAGCTGGAAAGATATTTTTACAGCTGATTTTAAAAAAAATTAAAGGAGTCATTCTCACTAATATGCTCAATAGCCACTTCACATGGTGTTCTTGTTATTGCATGCCTTCATGGCATGACTCTGGTATTCGTTTGAGGTCTCCCATCCAAATACTAGCCAGGGCTGACTCTGCTTAGTTTCCAAGATCTGATGAGATCGGGCTAGCTTGGGCTATCTAGGTCAGGGCATTTCCCTTCATTTGAAGACATACTTTGGCTGTGATCACACACAGTAAACAATCCATTTTCAATCCACTTTCAATGCACTTTTAAATTGGATTTTGCCAGTGACCATTAATGAAATAAAAGTCTTCATTTCCCTTCACTATAAGACTTTTATTCCATTCATGGTCACTTTCACAAGGGGCTGGGGAAAAGAGACCAAGTATGTTGTTCTGGTCTGGCTGAGCCCTAAGCAAGTCTCCCATGCAATGAAGGCTGTGGCTCCTACTACTACTTTCCTCTGACTCTGTATGCACAAAGGAATTAAAATGCCTGATCGAGTCACACTTTCATTTTATTTTAATACATTTTACAGTGGCATATTTGTATTTTAATTCCTATTTATATTGCAGCTCTAGCACATTTGGGCGGCCGTCTTACCTGCCTCACGCGGCTATTAAGCAAGAAGATGTTGTTTCATTTCTAAAAGCTGAAGTGCATTTAGCTATTCCAAATGTGGTAAGTAATATAAGCAATTAAGATGGCAAAAGCCATTATCTGAGAATTTCTTCAGAAGGTTTTCAGAACGGAGAACCAAATGAAAGAATATAAAATGAAAATATCCAGAAGAACATAAGAAGAACCCTGCTGGACCAGACCAATAGTCCTTCTAGTCCAGCATCCTCTCTCACACAGTGGTCAACCAGTTCTTCTGGACAGCTTACAACAGGGCATAGAGGCCAAAGCTTCCCCCTGATATTGCCTTCTGACTTTGGGATTCAGAGGCTTAGCAAAGGTATCAAACTCATTTGTTACAAGGGCAGAATCGGACATAAATGTCACTTTGTCAGACGGGCCCATTGTGCCATAAAATGTAATGCCAGGTACTGAAGATATAAACTTTATAAAGGACATAGGCAAACCCAACTAACAATATTATTTTTTACTTAAAACACAAACAAAAGCCATTGATTCCTGGCAGTGAAAGCCATTGATTTACTGGGGAACCCACAAAAGCCTCAATAAATGTATTTAATCATATGTGACTAGTTTTTCCCCAAGGGATACCATAAAAGGGGAAGTTCCTTACATTTCCATACAAATTTATTACTTTTTGTATATATAGTACTTTTAGGAGATGAGTCATCGTCCTTGCAAGTAAATAAGGTAGTTTTTCAGCACATGCCCCATTCACCCAGCGTCAGCAGTTAAGCACAGCTACAATCTGTCTCTTGCTCATATTTTCCTCTCTTCCCCCGTCCTACCACCACTGAGGATATCGAGGAGGCACACCAGACTCCCCCCTCCACCACCCCATCTCCAACCACAATAACAACCTACCTGTAAGGTGCGTTTTTTGTCCTCCCATGACCCCTTTTCTCTTATGGGCTGAGAACAGGTGGAGGGGAGAAGGGAGGTTGTTCTCCCCCCATCCTCCTCAACATTCACTCTGCCTTCTGGCTCTGTGACTGTTCAGACATGCAGCGGTGACATTGGGAGCCCTTTTCCCCTTTGCATTTCCATTCTCTTCCGAGGCCGAGGAGTCTTTCCCCTCAGAACAGTACACACAAGACAGCTCAGTTGCCTCCCAATCTATGTGCCAGCCCTCCTCCTCCTCTCTTCCCCACTGACCCAATCCCTTCATTGGCAAGCTGCCACTCTGCACGCCTGCTTACACCAACCCCCCTCATGGTCGCCATTTGAAAAAGGTGCAGCTGGTTAGTGCAGCGGTGGCAGTGCTGGCTGCTTGGCTCCACCCCCCATGTAATGGCTTCACCAATACTCACTGAGTTGCGATGGAGGGGGCGGGAGAGAAAAAAACACTATGCCTCCTCTTTCTCCAACTTTGCTTTCATTCCTCCCCACACTATTTTACCTCAGCATCTTTATTTTATTTATTTATTTATTTATTTTTCATATTTATATTCCGCCCACCCCTAGCCATTTCCTTTCTATTTTTTGTCAGCTTCGACCACACACAAACCTCACTGCCTGCACCCGCTCACCCCCCCCAGCAGCCTCCTGCCTTCCCTTCTTTGCACCAGTTGCTCATGGGCCAAGTAAGAGTCCTGGACATCTGGTTCTGGCCCTTGGGCCATATGTTTGACACCCCTGGCTTAGTGCCTCTGACTGTGGAGGTTCCCCGCAGTCACCATGGCTAGTAGCCACTGATAGACTTATTCTCCATGAATCTATCAAATCCCCTTTTAAAGCTGTTTATTCCTGTGGCCATCGCTACATCCTCTGGTAGCCAATTCCACATTTTAATCAGTCTCTGTGTATTTCCTTTTGTCCTCCTGAACTTACTGCCCACCAGCTTCATTGGATACCCTCGAGTTCTAGTATTTTGGTAGAGGGAGAAAAAGTTCTTGTTGTCAACTCTCTGCACCGCATGCATAATTTTATAAACCTCTATCATGTTCCCCCTTAGTCATCTCTTTTCTAAACTGAAAAGTCCCAGAAGACTCTTCAGCCTTTCCTCATAGGGAAGTTGCTCCAACCCCCTAATCATCTTGCTTTCCCTCCTCTATACTTTTTCCAGCTCTGCAGTGTCCTTTTGGACATAACAGTGAACAGAACTGTACACAGTATTGTAAATGAGGCCACACCATGGAGCTGTACAGGGATATTACAGTATCAGCCGTTTTATTCTCAGTCCCTTTCCTAATAAACCCTAACATAGAGTTTGCCTTTTTCACTGCCACAGCACACTGGGTTGACACTTTCATTGAGCTATCCACTACGACCCCAAGATCTTTTTCCTTCTCTCAGTCTCACCATGGTAATAGATTCTTGCCTTTAACTGCTGTTCATGCTGCAGTGACTTGGTTTGTCTTTAACATGCCTCAGATCTCTTTGTCATTTCTGCCTCAGTAAGTTTACTGAAACATAGACCTGACAAGGAACCAGGGCAGCACTAGCAATGCAGCAGAAATTAGAAACTAAGAAGATTGATCTATGAGCCAGTGTGCTGTAGCAGTTAGAATGTCAGACTAGGATCTGTGAAACCAGGAGCAAAGCTTCATGATAGACGATCTTGGGCCAATAACACTCTTCTCTTTCAGACTATCCTATCTAACAGGCTTGTGAAGAGAAATAGATTTACCCAGTTTAATTCTCCACTGTGCATTGAGACAAGCTGTGCTGCCCCTGAAGATGATCTTCAAGAGTATTATATGCTGATTTTGTGCCTGTCTGACATGCATTCCACAAAGTGTTCAGAGAACAAGCACATCTTTGTTTGCTGAAATTGACTTGAATTTATAAAAAATTGGTATGTGATTGGGCAGAAAAAAATCCTGGCTCCAATGGATCATGACTTTAGCAATCAAAATGGCTGGATATGTCATGTACATCTTTAAGGTAGGGCATGTAAATGTACAAAATTTTTTTGGAGCCCAGGGGTTTGGCAATTACTTGATAAAGTACAAGGCAGTTGGAAAGATAGAGAGTCTTGGATGGTGGCCCACACAATATGCTTACTCCCCCACCCCTGTGTGACAGTTTTTAACCAGCAATGCAAGAACAGCAAAAAGAGAGAGACAGTCTAGCATTCATGATAAAAAGCAGGGCTATTTTTGGGCAGGAACACACAGGAACGGCGTTCCGGCTGGCTCCCAAGTTGGCCTCGCCCAGCAGGAACTCATTAGCATAATAGGTCACACCCAACAGCAGGAACTCATTAGCATATTGGGCCACACCCCTGACAGCACAGCTCATTAGCACATTAGGCTGCACCCCCATGTTACCAGAAGTGTGGTTATCCAGCCACACCCACCTTTTGCTTCTTATTCTGTTTACCTTGTTTGTTGTCAAAACCCAAGGCTTTTTTGTAGCAGGAACTCCTTTGCATGTTAGGCCACACACCCCTAATGTAGCCAATCCTAATGAGTTCCTGCTGTTGGGTGTGGCATATTATGCTAATGAGTTCCTGTTGGAACTCTACAAAAAGAGCCCTGATAAAAAGTGACTGTTTTATAAAACATTTATAGATGTCACGTGCAATTGGATTATTCTTCTGCTGTATGATTACTTTTGGTGGGTTTTTTGGGTATAACTTTTTGATGATTTTTGTAGAGGGCATTGTCATCTTAAATGGTATTAGCAAGTATTTGGACCTGTTGGCTGAGGGGTTAAGGGAATTTCTTACAACATCTAGTTCCACCTTCAGAGTTCACCTAGAGTAACCCCTGGTTGCATAGATCACATCCAGACTTCCTTAGAGTCCAGTGGCACCTTTAAGACCAAACATGTTTTATTCAAGGTGTGAGCTTTCGTGTGCACGCACACTTTGTCAGATGATGAAATGGAGTTACAGAACATAGTTGCATATATAGATAGGGTGGCTTGTTAAAGTAGCATGCAAAATAGTTGTTAAATGGTGGGTTCCATGGATGAACAGACTCCAAGTCTAGTGATCAGCTCTACTTTATTCAGTGATTTCAGCAAGAACAAGACTGTAGACCAGAGCCTCAGCTCGGTTATATTGCATGCAATGGCCACACCCCAACATACCCCACTCCCAACGATAGGCTATTTACATAACTTCACATCTTAATTGGTTACTGCCAGAATCCTGTTGGTCTATTTTTATTCCGCTCCAAGCTCACCCTGTCTCTGGCAGCACCATCCTGCAATGTTTCAGTCCCAATACATAATAATAATGGAGATATTTTTTAAAAGCTAAAAAGAACGACAAGCTTGGTTTCTGGTTATCATCTGTTTGGGTTCAGCTGCGGGGGCGGGGGGGCGGGGAACAACATAGGTAATAAACATGTCAGAACTCGAGATTGATGTACCCTAAATTGTGAGAATCCAGTCTTTAGAATGCATCCATCTCCTTTCTAGCATGGAGGCAAACTTATCAGAATCTTGGCTGTGTATTTTTCTTGTCCCCAGAACAGAGAATTGCATTTAAATCTACCATTCCAAATTACCATTACATATTCAATTATATTCAGTTGTTAAAGAGTAGTAAACTGAGATTTTTTAAAGTAACATTTTGCTTCACTAAAACATGGCGTTAACTGACAGAATCCTTTTCTTGGGGTGCAGTGTTATGTCAGAGATCAACAAAGCATTGCATTGTATTACAATAATTATTATAATATGCCAATAAGTGTGCATGCACACAAAAGCTCACACCTTGAATGAAACTTTGTTGGTCTTAACGGTGCCACTTTGTTCTACTGCTTCAGACCAACACAGCTGCCCACCTTGATCTATCCAGACTTCCTGTAGACGTTTATTTCTGTAAAAATGAAAAAGTGGGTCCATGAAGAAACTATACACTTCCTACAGCAGTGGGGCAATCCACCAGATACCCTTTCATGAATTAAACAGGATTCATGGTTTGTTGTCACTATGTAGGAAACTGAGCCAAACAACTTTCTCATGGGATGAAATTGTAGGTCCCCTCCTAATGCTATCTTTGTTGTGTAGGGTCCACTGGAGTGAGCCCCTGTCACACTCCACTTGGGCAACATGAAAAGTCCAGGACCTCATGAGAGGATCCCTAGCATCACTTCCCCCATCCTAGTATTGTCCTTGAAATGCAATGCTGGTCTGGGGAGGAGCAGTAGCATAGATTCTCTCATGTTGTCACACAAGGAGATAGAATATCAGTTGTTTCTAACAGTTACCAGCCAGCTTACATGCAAAAACTATCTAATATGTGCAATGGAATGGAATGGTATAGGAAATTGTTTCTCCTCTTTCACAGGATGGAAAACTGCAAGTGTATGTTCCAGTCCTTAAATGTTTAGTCCAGTCTTCTGTGTCAGATATTATTCTGTTCTCAGACATTGGCCACTTGTGTAATGTTTTGAGCAAGTTAGCTGGTAGCTAAATGTTTGAATAAGTTCCAGTTTGGGTTTAAGAAAGTTTTATTGTATTGCCTGAGACATATCTTTGTATTATTTTGTATAGGTAATGGTGCCAAGTTTAGATGATATCCAGCAGTCCATTAACCGTATGATACAATTGACCCTGGATGTGAGCCGTGGTGTGGCACACTGGGGACAACAACACCTGCAGAAATCTAATACAACGCTGGAGGGAAACTTATATTTATCTCCTAGCCAGATAAGTGGGAAAGCAGCTAAAAAAGATGAAAGTGAGATAACTGCTTTTGTTAGCTTTTTTTTAACTTTATGAAATGTAATTGCTTCTACATTTCAGGCCTATACTTTAAAACTATACTTAGCCTGGAAGAATGCTTTCTTGGGAGTAAGCCCCATTGAATAGACTTGAGCAGGACTCCACGCATGATCTCTAGATCATGAGAAATTTTAATTTTGAAAGTTGTATGTCATGTAAATAAAATTTAATGTTACTGTTTAAGGTCTTTTAGTCCATTTAGATTAGCAAAAGCATTGCATTTTTCATGTACCTAATACTGATGCGAGATTTTTGATAAGATGAAATGCCATTACAGTTTACCAAGTAACACCTTATTGCCGTTATTGATATTGTTTTCTATTACTCTGTGGTATTCAATCAGCAATACCTAAAGAGGAAATCTAGACCCACAATCATCAACTAACTTTTCATAATACATCTGGGGTTGTAGTTTCTAGTTCTGAAACAATATAATTAAGTGAAGTAGAGACGTTCTGGGGACACAACTCTGAAAATTTAAATTGTAATTCACTCCCATTGAAATCAAGTTCTCTTGATTGTGGCCTAGGAAAACAAAGATTTGTTTATAGTGCAGATTTTTGTAGGTGCTGTTGCTCTTCCTCATATATTGAGGGGTGGTATGTGGAGAGAGACTGCAGCATTTATGGTGAAAATCCTTTATTTTTCAGAAACAGTGGAAGAGACATTTCCAGTAAGAAAGTTGAGAAATTTTTATCCAGGTGTTGCAGAACATAAAGATATTTCCAAATTAGTTGTGCTTCTGTCCTCATCTGTAAACTCTGTACGGAAAGCAGCTAGTGAAGCCCTACTTGACTTCCAGAAATATAAAGCTCTATGGACGGAAGACAGAGATGCTAAAGTTCAGGTTAGTTGAACTATGAGATTTTTAGACATTTTTGCAAGGTGGTGGTTATCCAGGGTGGTTGATGGTTCAAAAGTTAACACATGGGGTCTTTGAGGAACCAACTCAGTCCTGGGATTTGTGTGTTTCAGCCTCCCAAACTTTTTTTCATTGTAAATAGCATGTCCTAGTTCAGCCCCAGTTAAGCCCAGCAGGGGCCCTGCCTTCTCCAGGTGGCTGGGGAAGAAGATGTTGCCTGTGACACCCCCACCCTCTTGCAGCCACAAACAGCCCCTGAGAGCCCCACAAAGTCCCTGCAAGCAGTGGGACTGCTCGCCACTTGCCAACCTACCTGGGGAAAGGGAGGATACACAGCGGCACGCAAGAAGACACAAATGGTGGGATCTAGGTGCTCTCTGCTGGAGGAGGTCAACCACCAGGCCTCCTAAGCCAATGGGGAGGCCTGAAGGGAGGGCAACATGGCACCTGGCCAAACCTGGCCCTGGCAGCAGCAGGGCTGGCAGCCCCCAGGGGCAGAGGCCAAGGCTGGCAGGGAAGCCAGGGATGTGGTGGGCAAATCGGGGTGGCTGCCGCTGGTGCAGGCAGTGTCCCAGAGGATGCCCAACCAGTGGAAAGCCAGGTGAGTTAGGCAGGGGAGCCAGCTTGGCATCTCCAGGCTGGGGCAGGGACGAAGCCAAGCCCAAGATGCTCAGCATCCTCAGGTTTATGCGGAGATGTGGCCAGCCCCGAGAGGCAGGCTGGGATGAGGGAGGGGGCGTAGCAGGAGAGGGATGGGTTACAAAAGGAGGAAGGAGACAGTCAATGAAGAGGAACCTGGGAATCCAGAGTTGCCAGAGAGAGGCGACAAGTGAAAGCTGGATCCAGGGGGTGAGAGGGATGGTAATGTAACCTCCTTCCTCACCCAAGAACTGAGGTGACTCCTGTTCCTTCCCCCCCTCAGCTCTGCAAGTTGTGGGAAGTCAGGTGGAGACAGGGGAGGCACACAGCAACATGGTGGCAACTGGGATGCAGTCGACGGCAGCCAAGGAGGGCCATAACATAGCAGTTACGCAGAGTCCCAGTGGCATGGGGGGGGGGTAACACTTTTCCCCTGCACTGTTTTCTTGACCTGAAACAGCCCTTTGGATCGGGGTCTTTGAGGAACCAACTCAGTCCTGGGATTTGTGTGTTTCAGCCTCCCAAGCTTTTTTTCATTGTAAATAGCATGTCCTAGTTCAGTCCCAGTTAAGCCCAGCAGGGGCCCTGCCTTCTCCAGGTGGCTGGGGAAGAAGATGTTGCCCGTGACACCCCCACCCTCTTGCAGCCACAAACAGCCCCTGAAAGCCCCACAAAGTCCCTGTAAGCAGTGGGACTGCTCGCCACCTGCCAACCTACCTGGGGAAAGGGAGGATCCACAGCGGCACGCAAGAAGGCACAAATGGTGGGATCCAGGTGCTCTCTGCTGGAGGAGGAGTCAACCACCAGGCCGCCTGAGCCAATGGGGAGGCCTGAAGGGAGGTGGCAGCCAAGGAGGGCCATAACATATCAGTTACGCAGAGTCCCAGTGGCATAGGGGGGGGTAACACTTTCCCCCTGCACTGCTTTCTTGACCTGAAACAGCCCTTTGGATCTGTAATTTGCCTCATTGGTATAGGCATACCAGTACTCTGTATCCTTTGGGTAAAAGAAAGCATCATTATACATGATTCAACTTTTTGGCAGCAAAATTCTATTGTTCTGCTTTCAGGAATACATTTGGGTGAATTTACATGCAAAAGTACTGGGAAATGTAAAATTTAGCATTTTCTCATAAAGTTGCTATAATTGGACCAGACATCACACAACTGTCCCCACTCTGCCCTTTTTGGGCCCTCTACTTGTTTGGAGAAAGGATCATGGCTCAGTGGTGGATGATCTGTTTCTGATGCAGAAGGTCTCAGGTTCAATCCCTGGCACCTCTAACTAAAAGAATAAGGTAGCAGGTGTTTTGAAAGACCTGAGTCTGAGATCATGGAGAACCTACCAATCAGAGTAGACAGTATTGACCCTGGTAGACCAATGCTCTGACTTAGTATAAGACAACTTCATATGTTTATTTGCACCAAAATCACAAGGATAGCATTCAAGTTCCTACACCTGCCTTAAGCTTAAAGGAAAAGCACATGCAGACACAGCTGTATTTGTAGGATGGAAATGGATATGCAAAGCTATTCCCAATGTGAGTGTTGGCATTCAACAACTATGACACATTCCTGGGATAGCCTAGATGTTGGTAGATGGCAATAGTCAAGGAGAAGGTGCTTGGGGGACAACAAAGGGAGGGCTTCTGGAGTTCTGACCCTACTGGTGGATCTCCTGATGGCACCCAGGTTTTAGCTACTGTGTGACACAGAGTGTTGGACTGGATGGGGCATTGGGCTGATCCCACATGGCTTCTCATGTTCTTATGTTCTTAAGACTATAGGGGAGGAGCAGCATGGGCTAATGAAGTGGGGGAAGAGTGTGTTTTATTTATTTATTTATATTTAAATTTATATCCCGCACCTCCCCGTCGTAGTGGGCTCAGGGCGGCTAACAACATGTTTATAAATATATACATTAAAATTCCAATATATACACTCATTTTCAGGCCTCCTATATCTGCTATATAGGGTTTCCAAGTCAAAAAACCTCACCGGTGGGGGAGCCTTGTCGGGCTCCGGGAGCCATCCCCGGATGCACGCATCACCGGAAGTGATGCGTGACGTCGACCACATTGAGGGCATGGCCCCGATCGTCAGAGGGAAAACCATAGGGTTTTCCCTCTGACAATCTGGGCCACGCCCCCAACGTGATCGACGTGGTTGCGTCACCTCTGGTGACGCAGCCACGCTGCGCTTCGGGGGGCGGAGTTCCCCCCGGGGCCCGATTCTGTGGCGGTGGAAATTGGGCCACCAAAGCAGGGGTTTACCCACCCCCTGACCCCACTTTGCAGTCCTACTGCTATATGCATGGGACGAAATCCGTGCATAGTATTGTAAGTAATAATATTAAACTGAAGATCATTTTAACACAGCAAAAGAATATGTATTAATGGTTTGTTTTATCTATGCACAGCAATTTCTGGCGAGTAATCCTTCTCTGACTGAGATCAGATCAGAAATTCTTCATTATGCTACCTTTGAACAAGAGATAGAAGATTTAAAACCTACAATTTCTGTTGGCCCCATTGAACTGAATACAAGTATGAGATCATTTTCCTTGTATGTAACACTGTAAGATGCACCAAAGTATGTCATTTGCTTTGCTGCTGTGAGTCTGTAATTAATATTTGCAAATATATTCAGTAATCTGTGGGTACAAATGTCTAAATAGATATGATCAGGGAAAAGCATAATTGTGTGTGGTCTTTTTACAATTCTGCAGAATGTGTTTTAGAAGCAGGGTTTGGAATAGCTGCACCTACCAAAGACCACTTTTCTTGTGGCCTTTATTTTACCTTCTCCTATGGTTTGTACATCTTCAGATTTTGCTCTGCCTGTACCTTAATCTGGGATTGGGGAGATATGTGAGGAGAACAAAAGTGTAGCCTAATCTGGAAATGCCAGGCTATCACTGAATCAAAAAATTGGTATTAGTAGAAATTTATTTTAAAATACAATTTAAATGATAATGGCCATACTCCAACAATAACCACATTTTATTAATTGTGTGCCCATAATATTTAAATTGGTTTTTCTTCCTTTCAAGGAAGACAATGTCAGAGTTAAATAAGTATTCTTAGCCTCATATCACATATAGCCCTTCTAAGAGGGCATAGACCACCAGGAATCAGGGCCCAGTGCAAAAGAAGTGGAGTTATCTTGGCTATATCTACTAAGCCTCTTAACAAGTTATAAGACCATTATACTATTAATTCTTGTCTGAACAGGAACAGAAATGTTTAAATTACTTTTTCACAGACAGTGAGAGAGAGAAAGAGAGAGAGCAGATATTTATAACAAAAGAGAGAGTGGCACTATAAACCCAAGGCCCTCAGTTAGGGCAAGTCAGCAATGTTCCATGAAGCCACCCCAGTTTATACCATATAAAAAATATCCCTAGTATAGGAGACTGTTCATTGTGGGAGGAAAAAAAGGAAATGAGTTGATATTGTTTAAAATTAGGCCATATGCAGTTTAGCCTATGGCGTATTCATCCTGGTCTGTATAACAAAGCTGAGTCATTTTAAGTCAGATGAAAAGAAGTGATATAGTTTTAGGTGCTCCTGAAAAGGGCTTTGGAAGTAACAAAGTGTTTAAAATTAGTGGAAGTCTGTTAGTGGCAGAATACATTTAAACATTTAGGAATCTATGAAATCTATTTTTTTCCACTATAGGCAAGATTCATAAAGCTGATTAGGAAGAGGCTGAGCACATCTAGTGGGTTTCTTTACACATTTTCTTGAATTCCACACACACACACACACACACACAGAATCACAAACTGCACTGGAAAAGTTCTTTAAGTCATGCATCAGGCTTTGTCCTATCCGATCCAATTTAGAGATTGGGCATAAACTGGGAAAATGTGGTTCAGTTTGTTGTTCGTTCATGAAGTTTGTTCATGAACTGAACTGGTTTGTGGTCTGCAAACACCATTGAAAGGGACCACAGTTCCTTTTAACAGGGTTTGCAGAAAGCCTGAAAAAAAGCTGAGTGGTAGGGAGCAACTTGCTCCCTACCACTCAGCTGTTTTGGGCTGTCGTCTGCAGTCCCTTTAAACTTTAAAGGGACTGCAGAAGACAGTCCAAAAAACAGCTGTGCAGCCTGGAGGTGCTCCCCACTGCTCAGCTGTTTTGGGTGTCTTGTGTCTTGGTTGTGCAGCAGGGAGGCACTCCATGCCACTCAGCTGTTACAAGCTATCTACTGCAGTCCCTTTAATATTTAAAGGGACGGCATGAGACAGTCCAAAAACAGCTGCACAGCACGCTCCCTGTCACACAGCTGTTTTTCGGGCTGTCTTCTGCAGTCCCTTTAAAATTCCATTGCAACAGCCAGAAACAGCTGAGCAGCGGGGAGCACCTCCTAGCTGCTCAGCTGTTTTTGCAATTTTTGTGAGGAACAGAAAGCAGGGGTTTAAGGGGACACAGAGTCCCTTTAAAACCCTGATTTTTTGTTTCTCGGGCCTCCCCACCACTCAGCTGTTTTTGCTGGTTTAACAGGGAACACTCTGTGTCCTTTTAAACCTCATTTTTTTACTCCATCCATGAACCACCACAAACTGCTTTAAAGGTTCATGGAAGGTCATCATGGTAGACCCATCATGAACTTCTGTTTGTGAACCACAAAGAGGGCAAAATTCACGACAAATTTTGCTTCATGGTTTGGTTTGTGCCTCACAGATACTAGATGTTTAGCCTCATTTTTGGAAAGTAAGACCATTCCTGCAAGGACTGTAGTATGGGACAAACAAACACAGGAAAAGCCTTCTGGATACATAAAGCTACTTGCACAATTTTTTAGATCCCAGTCTAAATGAGATCATTTTTCATCTTAGACTGTTCCGTCTTAAAGGACTTTGTGTAATTCCTTTGAATGGGTGGTATATAAAGGTTAATTGCTTTGTATATGTAAATAACCTACAGACCATAATTTTTAATAGGACCAATGAAACTAGCTCTCTCAATTGAAGCCAAAGCATGGAAAATGTTACTCTGTCGCTATTTAAATGAAGAATACAAGAACAGATTTTTGTGCACCCCTGGGGACTGCCCCAAGAGTGCACAAACCTCTCCCTGCCCCCCAAGTGCCCCCCAAGTGCAGATATAGATATCCGCACAGACGGGGGCACTTCACTATTAGATATATAGATTTCTGGCGATATGAATAATGAATATCATCAGAGACAGAGGTGTATACACTAACCTATCCACCAAGAAAAATTATCTTTCCAGGCCTCAAGATTTGTGTTACAAACCCTGTTCTCTGTACCTCTGCCTTCAGAGGTATGGTTATGTGGCAACCAGAGTCAGGGCTTTTCTCAGAGTGGCACTGCTCTTACAGAATGTCCTTCCCCTTGAGGTTTGCCTGGTATCTGCGTTGCTTTTGTTTAGGCACGAGGCCAAAATGTTTATGTTCACCCCCACCCCTTTAGTTAAAGGGTTGATTTTTAATACTATTTTAGTCTGGAAACGTATTTTAAGCTGTCGGGTCTGTTTTTATGATCATATATTTTTAATGTTGGGTTGCCTTTTTTAATGCTGGATTTTAATTAACATCGTATAATGCTTTGTTTTCAACTAATCTTTTTATTTTGTAAGCCATCTCAGGTACTTTCCTGGAGAAGCAGCATAAAAATTTTCTAAATAAATAATACTGATTTATGAGTTCCCAGAAGCTAATTAGGCTGGATATGGTTATAGTTCATTTACTTAGCTTTTCAACCATAATGGCTTTTCAGGAGGTTCTTTGCCTTGTGACAGATTATTGAATAGTCCTATTTTATATTCTGACATATCCTGTTAATACCGGGTCACCACTCAAGCCTTTAGAATGTATGGCCCTTCCTTTTATGCATTAGGACCCACCAGCTGGACTTTTCCTTCAAATGCTTTGTCACTTGCACCAGATTACCTCAGAATCCTACCTAATAGATGCAGACTTCCTCCTTCTTGATCAAATGCTCTGTAATACTTCTGTTTATCTGTTCTAGAACACTTCTGAAAGGGCAGACTTTGAAAATAAATCTCCTAAATAATTCTCAATGAGTCCCTGGATGTTTGGATCAACATTTCAATAGATAAAATTGACAACAGGTGGTGTTCATCTTTTATTCATATTACCCATGAATATTTACTTGTGTTTCAGTCTAGTGCTCAAGATGAGTTGATTCAGGTGCAGCCCAAGTTTAAGGCTCAACTATTGGAAGCTGTTGAGGTTTTCCGTGAGGATGTATCGAACTATGAACTAGCATATGAGATGGTAATTTATTTGCATGGCTTTTGGAAAATGCTTTTATAAATTGTCTCCTTTGATTTTTGTCTCATATTCAGAAAAAGCAAGCGGGTTTGAAATTTTAAATTGCACTCATTTGTGGTTTTAACAGGTCTATATAGCTCTGATCAGAAATAGCTGTGTTGCTGTCCCACATGAAGAAGAAACATTATAAGGGAAACAAACATACTTTCCGCAAACTTTAGTGACATTTTAATTTAGGGGGGAAATGTTTAAAACATGGAAACATTTTTAATGGGACCCAAAATGTTGCACACATGGGGACTTTATATCTCCTCTCTTCCCTTTGTGCTCTCCTGTGCTCATGAAAATCCAAAGATCAGGGTATCTCCAGCACCGCACTTCAGGAGGCATGAGCAACTTCTGTAAAAAGGGAAAACCAGCTTCCCACCTCTGTCTGCAATCCTAAAAACAATTTCCTGGTCAGTAATACCCATTAAATAAAATGGGACTTATTTAGGATTGCTCCCTTTGTGTGCTTAAGAATGTCTGGTACTCAAACACAGCCCTCTGTGAATCATGGGTCAAAAGTTTCATCCAGATATCTCAGGCTTTATAAATTAACTTCTTCAAAAAACAATATTATCAATACATCAAACATGCTTCTTCTAAATATACCTGAAAGACCAACACCAAAGTAACTAATCATTATGAATTATGGCATATTGATACTTAAAAAAAAAGAACTGGAGAAATATGGTCTTGTAAATGTTGCAAGGGTATTATTAACTGTTGTCATATTTATAGACAACTTCAATAGATTTTCCAGTGTTTAAAATCAATCAGTCATTAGGAACTCAGTTTAAGCATATTTACTCTTGGGTAACCCCCCCTGGTTCCAAAGGAACCGTATATATGAAAAAAGTGCTGTTCATGTGTTATTTTAATGATTCCACCTGCAGTGGGGCAGTGGGATTACACATGTTTCTATTTACTCCTCCCGTAGGCCCAAGGATAAGGTAGAATACATGTAGCTAAAACATCATCAGGAGAAGCAAAACAACTGCTACTCATGAATGAATATGCGTTATAACATATGGCATGTCCAACATATCTTCAAAAACTATCTTCTTCAGATGCAAAACAATATATCTTTCTGATAGCTCTTATATATTATAGCATATATAACATTAATCCCCTCTGCCCTAGCACTCATATGAACAATTCATTGAAGTAATGTGAGAATAGTGGGTAAGGCCAGTTGTAAAGAACTACTATTCATCATTGCCCACACTTCTTCTGTTTTAGGAAGGACCTATGGTTCCAAATACACCACCTCAAGAAGCCAGCAATAGATTACAGATATTCCAGGTAAGATGAGTGATTGGCTAGGTTTTAATCACTATATCAGATATAGTTTCAGCAACCTTTTTGATGTTTAATACTTAAGAAAGTAATCTCAGTCATTAGAATTACAGTATTTACTCAGATATAAGCCTACTTGTTTTTTTCCAGGTATGCCTTCAAAAAAGGGAGGATTGTCTTAAATTCACATATGAATTACAGTTATTTCCAATAATGTAAATATCCACTTTTTGTGTATAAAATTTTTATTAGAAGGGGTTCATCCATTTAGGATTGTCTTCCTTTAAAGTAAGTACTGTAGTGCCTTGTTATGTACTAGAAAGCACACTATTATATTTTGCCTTCAAAAATTCAGATTTATCACTGAAATCACAAAGATCATAAATATACTTTTAAGAGGTAGAATCATGAGTCTTCCTTATAAAGCCTGTTGTACAGGTAGACTAAAGAACTGCTTATTGACTGGATTTACTTCATTTGGACTGCTTTTCTAGTGAACAGACTTTGAGTTATTGTCCCCTGATAATTTTTTACCACGACATTTTATGCTGTCTATTTTCCACTGTCTGTATACGAGAATTTCTTGCCAGTATATCTCATAGTAAACTCTTGCCAGTTTCTTATAATAAACTCAAGACTAACCTTTTGTACAACAGTTTGGTAGATATCCTACCATCCTGAATTGTGTACACATGAATACATTAAGCTGCCTGACACTGATCTATCAAGGTCACTATTGTCTACTGACAGGCAGTAGGTCTCTAGGTTTTGGGTAGAGGTCTTTCTTTCACATTGCCTATTCCTTGATTCTTTTTCACGATCTCAGGTTCCCAACTCCAAGTCACCTAACTGGGGCTATCCATCTCAATGGGGCCATATCCCCCCCTTGAACCTGAGACATTCTGCATGCAAAACAAATGCCCTTTCACTGAGTCACAGCCCCATTTCTTATACAGTTATTCAAATCTGTGAAAGGTAACTAAAATGTTCATATTTGTGTCTTCTGTGCCATGGAGAAGTTTTCTACAAGTTTCTAGAATTTTACAGCTGAGTGCTTTCCCTCCCCTCTGCACCACACAGGCTCTGTTCCTGCCCAAATGGTCACATGGCAAGGGGCACTCTTCCCTCAGTCTTTTTTTTTTTTTGCCGCTGTGGAGAAATGATGCTCTATATTGATCTTATTTACCTCAGGAATTTTACTTCAGGAGATCAACATCGAATAGATTTTATTCCTACATGAGTCTTTCTGTTCCCCTCTTAAGGGAACACCTATGGCTCTTTTTTAAAAAATCCACTCTTATGGAACTAAAATGGCATAAAACAATGAACACACCCAGTGCCTTGTATGCTTAGGGGAAGGGCATAACACCTCTTCTCACAGAGCCTGTGGTCTCCTTACCCCCAAAGCTCAGCAAGAACACACCCTGCATTTGAAAGTTGAAATATGAGAACTATCTCTTTGGGTTCCAAAACCCAAAACCCTCAAAAATGGACCAGGACTCCTTCAGTGGTGTTGGTCCCTGTTGAAAGACCAAGGCCCCAGTTGGAGACATCAGACCAAAGCCTGAGACCAGTCTCTGAACTCCCAGTAAAATCTGAGACCTGGCTGAAATCTTTGGTTATGGAGTTGACATGCCACATGGAGTTGACCTCACCATGACGCTGACCATACCTGCCCTGGTGCTGTTCTCTGTCATCAACCTGGAGTTGACAATCCAACTCTCCCTGATGGTCACCATTGACTTCCGATTGTTGATTGAAGTTGCTTCAGCATTGAAGCCCCCATTCTCAATACCAATGCAGCAATTCCAGTGTGAGTGCAACCCATTTTTGATGACCCTGCACACTGTCTCTATATCCAAAGTTTATGGGAGGACATTCCTTGGAGGATGACATTGTTGAGCTCATGCTTTCAACTTCAAAGTTGCCTTCATCGAAACATTCTTCACGATCTCAGGTTCCCAACTCCAAGTCACCTAACTGGGGCTATCCATCTCAATGGGGCCATATCCCCCCCGGTTCATGCCCCCATGGTACCAATGGGATCTGGCTTCCAGGAGTCAAAGTTAAACACCTCTTTGATGCCCACACTCCTCCAAAAGATCTCAATCCTTGGAGAGCCACCATTCCACTCATGAGCCAGCAAAGCCTTCCGCAGAGGCTTTGACAGAGCATCTCTCTGACACCACTTCAGAGCCAACTTCCATGCCATCACCTGATAAGAATGTTGGGGATCCCACTTCAGTGTCCCCTACTGAAGATCTCAAACTTTACTCTGAACAATTAATTAGAGTGGTCAAAGCCTTACACATTGAATATACTCCTCCTAAACCAACAAAGAAGGATCCCATTATGGGCATACTGTATTTCACAGACCCACGTCTCATAGGGATCTGGGACATTACTAAGAATGTCTGGGCTAAACCATCATCCGTTATCTACAGAAAATCTTTGGCCCCAGAAGTCTCCCCTCTATCCGCATACACCCAACAGTTGTGGTTCCCACCGGGGATGGGACTCAACACCTATGCGGAATGGACCACTGTGGGATTCCACAGGCTGATGGATCTTGCCCCAGAAGGCTCTCTTCTCCCTAAAGTACATTTTGAAAATAAGATGCAAACCACATTATCATGGCTAAAATACTACCAACTTAAGAGCATGATTGATTGGATTACAGAAAAAGGATCCTTCTCAAGACCAAAAACTCGTTTTGAACGTACTCTATGTGTATATGCTGACTGCAAGAGGGGTCTTTTATCCTCTATCTACAAATCTCTGGTGGAGACTGGAAGAACGCAAATAAAGGCTCACATGAAGGCGTGGAACAAGGACTTGCAGAAAGACCTAAATGACCAACACTGGATGAATATATGGGACTCTCAGGCATACAAATCCTGGACCTTTTCTATATGTCTACAACTCTTCAAAATGCATACCAGATGGTACCTCTCACTGGCAAGAATACACCACATGCACCATACATATAACCCAGTATGCTGGAAAAGATGTGGAGAGATAAGTGATTTTTTTTCATTGCTGGTGGTCCCGTCCCCTGATTCAATCATTTTGGGAGAAAATAGTGGAGGAAATTCACAAAATCACATCACAGAGAATACCAAAGGATCCTGCTGTAATTTTGTTACAATCAGTCGAAGAGGCCATCCCAGAGATTAAAATATCCAATCTTACTTCTACATTATTAGCCACAGCCAGATTGACAATTGCGGCAATGTGGAAATCTCCAAACCCACCATCGGTTGCAATCTGGAGAGAGAAATGCTGGGAACACTTTGTAATGGACAGAATTGCGTACACCTTTGAAGAGAATCAACACAGACCCATAAACTCACACTCCAAGTTTGTAAGAACTTGGTTTTCACTGATTCAGTACATGGCGGAACACGAATTGTTACCTTCCAACCCTTCTTATTTGGAATGGCTTTGATTTTAATCAATGGTCAGATTTAAAATGAGTGCCACTCTACATATTACACACACACAATACACAGAACACATAAACAGATTCTTTCTAGGCTTATGATTTGAGGATGTGCAATACGTTGACAGTCTATTCTTGTTTCTATAGTTCTTTGAATATTGTATCAGTTGATCACACCAAAATTTTTTAATGTTTGTAAGAATTGTGAGTTACATCTTTAATTTAAAAATTTATTTTAAAAAATAAAAAAATAAACCATCATCCATTTAACCTTCCACGAAGAAAGTGGGAAATGTATATAAAATCAAAGTAGAGGGTTCCGAATTCCTTTACCACACCACCCCTAATTCTATTGTTGCAGAGACCCTTCCCTCGAAGTGACTAGGTGGAGTGTGCGCCTCTCCTTTCAACAAGGAAGGCTGCATATTAGATATAGGTCATAAAGTTTATACCTCTGGATCCCTAGGACTCCATATAGTTAATTTTAAAGCTATTATGGCCTGTTATCAGATCCACCTTTTCAAGCCTCCGCTCTTTCCCCAGACACCAGGGCTTGAGTGGAAGATCACCCTTTGAGGGGAAGACACTGTTCAGTGAACAAACCGATAATGTCCTGGAGAAAATTCATAAAAATAGATTTACTGAAAGATCTTTGGGGATAACAGCCCAACAACTACCAACCTTTAAGTGTAGGTATTTCCCTCAGTAATACTCAGCAACCTCCTTTCAGTAAGGGCTATAGATTCCAACCTGCTGACAATCAGCAATACCACATCCAGTACAGTGCACATTCTCAATCTAGAAAACAGTCTAAGCAAAGAGGGTATCAGGGACATCCCCCCAAAGGCCCTTCTACCAATGGTAGGGCCCAGCAATTACTAATTGTGCTAAAATTCACAGCTAGACTTGCCTCATTTGAACAACATTGGTCCACTGTTACTGCCATGGCACTCTGTGGCCTTTGCAGGTTGTCCCCCAGTCACCGTGGTACTGCTGCAATTCACCCCCCTTCCAACCCACTGGAGGGGTGGAGCAGCCCATTCGGAGATCCCACAGGTCATTAGGGGGAGCTCAGGAGGACAGGGGTCCAAAAGGGGCAGGAAAGAGGGGCCTCAGCCAAGGAGTCCTCTTGGGGAGGTTACTTCACCTCCCAACCCACCGGGATCCATACTCTGCACTCTCTCTAGTTTTCTTTATTCCTCTCTCATAGTTCCTGCTTCCTCATTGACCTCCTCCTGCTCCCTTTTATAGTCCCCATCCCTCCTGAGCCACCCCCATCCGTTAGCTCTGCCTCCCTTCAAAGAGAAAGACGCGGCTCTACCCTTGTCTGTCCCCATCCTTCCTTGCACGCCCTGTGGGCATGCCACTGGGCCTGGGCCAGGGTTCCCCAGCACGTCTTCCTCCAGCCCGCCTGTCAAGCCTGGCTCTCCACCGCCCAGGCACGCTGTGGCCGGAGCTCGGCCAAACCCCCATGGTTTCTGGCACTCTTGGGTGCAGGCCCGCCCTCATCCTCTGTTGCCATTTCACTGTGACTCGGGTGCTTCTCCACAGCTCCACACACATGGGCCCTCTTCCCCATCGGGCAGCTCCTCCATCGACCTTCCTGCCCCTGCCTCAGTGCTGCCGCCATTGGTCCCCATGGCACCACCATGGCTCTTGATAAGTGAAGGGTGGGGGGGTTGTCTGGTGTCGGGTGCTTGTGCTCGTGGGCTTCCATCTCTTGGTCATCCTGTCAGGAGTCCCAGAGGGGGCTGGGACAGTTACAGATGATGTTTTGGTTTTAAAGATAATAATGTTTGGTTACTTTTTGGAATTTAAATCAGTACCTTCTCGATCCAGTTTTATGTGGTTTGATCCCCAGACATTAATGTCATCCCCAGACTTATTTTCCATGTGTATAGAAATTCTTGTGGAGCTTGTCAGAGCCCCAGATTTAAAAGGTTCCTTTCTTCCATATCTGTGCAGTTCTTAACAGTAATCTTTATTTTCTCAAATAAGAATTAAATGCAAAGGATTTGTCTCAATCGCCAATACAGTGCATGTTGTGTTAATTAAAAATGAACACAGACTTTGGATGCTGAACAGCCATGTAGTGAAACCTCACAATTTTTGTATTGCATAATCTAGATCCTTTATTAATTTTTATACTTATATTTATTAGGCCAATTTTGATGAGCTCTGGAGGAAATTTGTTACTTATTCATCTGGTGAGCAGCTCTTTGGATTGCCTGTCACAGACTATGAGGTTTTACATAAAATCAGGTAACTGTGGAAAATTGCTCTACTTGCCAGAATAAATTGAGCATTGTGGAAAAGTTGCGGTGATAGAGGAAGGTGGAAAAAAATACATTTTTACAAATTATATCTACTTATGTAACTGTCCACTGGAAACATTATATAGTCTTCAGAACTAAACTCCTTCAAAAGTTGTTTGGATGAAAACCATCCCAGAAAGAATGAAAAAGGACAGCTTGCGGCCCCAGCGCCAAGAGGAGGGGTGAGGTGGGCATCCAGGCAAGAGTCCTCCGTCATCCCTAACTAACTACTAACCCCGTATACAGTTTGCTTGAAATAATACACACTTACACATGATTTCAGAAAAGTTGGAAAATAGGCCACAACTTTATTGATTACAGCTGTAGTATGCTTTGGCACAGCATGGGTGCCGGATCCAGATAATGCACTGTACACCTGGGGATGGCAGGTTTGGATACCACAAGGGTGGATGCCCCGAGGTAGTCTCCCCTGCCACCTGGGCGTGAGGGTAATCCCCGGCCATGCCCCCGGGCTGGGTGCACCACTTGCCCCTCATGCCAAAATCCCTTAAGAGGATCCCCAATCTCGGGAAATGGGCATGCAGGCCGCCTTTCCTGATAATAGATCCAACCCCAAGCTGATACCGCCAAGTTGTGACAAAGAATAAAATTACGTGAAACAAAATGCATGCAAAAAAACCCTTAACAAACTACACCTAACTAAAGGGATGTGAGGGTGGGCCAAGTCGTCTGAAGCTGAGGAATGGTGGGTGGGATGGCGCAGCCCCCTAAATATTGGCTACGCACTCCCGCCCACCCAGATGATAGGGCCAGCGATGGTCAGGTGAGCCCCAGTTTCCCGCATCTGGTGCTGGCCCGCCCCCTCCAGCCAGCCTGCCATGTACGCCATCTCTCTTCCCCTCCTCACAGTTCTGCAAACAGGCCCCCGGGTGACTCAGGGACCTGGCTTTGTGGCATGCTTTGGAAGTGCAGAATCAAAGGAATGCTGAATAAAAAAGTTATTGGTGGGATATATGAAAGAGAAAAGGGTTGTTAAAACATGCAAGTTTAATGGGCTGTTAAATCTGGGAACTGGAGTTATTACATGTGAGAAATAATAAGATAATGGAGTCAAGAAGGAATGCTTATTTGTAGAGGCCTGTTTGGAGACAATTTTAAGAACTATGGAATTGATTTCCTGTGGAAACTATGATCTTTTGCTTTTCATATCTACATGTTTTTATTTCAAGATAAGCACATTAATCAAGTTTTTACACAGCAATGAACTTCGATTCTACTATATTAAACTGTTTCAGGACATAGTAAAATCCTTCTCCAGCTCCAAAAATGATCATCCAGATAATTTAATTTGTCCATTCTTTATCATTTAACATTTACCATTTGTCCACATGTAGTTTGTAGACAAATGTCTATTGTACAGAACTTAGGGACCTGAAATTAATTTTTCACACTGCTTAAATTATAATTTGAATGCATTTGTGCTTTCAGAGCCTCTAGAGAACACTAAAATCAAATTCAGTTGTATGCCCCATGGGTTTACATTTCGGAATGCATTAGCTATACTTTTATATCATGTTATAATAATGAGTCTAATGAACACTGCCTGTTTTGTCTCGTAGAAAGGAGCTAAGTTTGCTTCAAAAATTGTATGGATTGTATGATACTGTGATGAATAATATTAGTGGGTATTATGAAATTCTCTGGGGAGATGTAGACATTGAAAAAATTAATGCTGAACTTCTGGAGTTTCAGAACAGGTGAGCTTTCTTTCTACATTAAGGAATGATCAGCTGTACCTAATATATTTTCACAGGATATACTTTATAGATTGTGCTGTATAATCCACATTTTGACACAGTGTACACTTTACATCATCGTATATGGTCCAGGTGAATGGCCTTTGATATCCCTTAAGATAGCAGAAGCAGCCCTGCTCAACATTCCTATCAATTGGGAGACAACATTAGCAGTTACACATAGCTAGACCATAGTTGTGACCCCATTTTTATGGAATTTGTTACTTAAATCTGCTTGATCCTGGGTATGCAATCCTTTAGAATGCAATGCAGCACTTTCCTTTTTAAGAAACTGTTATAGGGATTTTGTTAAAAATATGATATTGTTGCTATTACAATCTTTGCACTGGGTTGCTTTTGCATTGTGTTTTCGATTAAAGGTGCCGCAAACTACCCAAAGGGCTTAAAGATTGGCAAGCATTTTTAGATCTTAAAAAAAGAATAGATGATTTCAGTGAATCATGCCCACTGTTAGAAATGATGACCAATAAAGCAATGAAACTGAGACACTGGAACCGTATTTCTGAAACGACTGCACATCCATTTGATGTAGAATCTGATTCCTTTTGCCTTCGAAATATCATGGAAGCACCACTTCTTAAGCACAAGGATGATATTGAGGTAAGAACCGTTTTATAGTTTGACACTTAGGCTTCCATGTTATTGTCTTTTGTGTTTATTTATTTATTTATTAGATTTTTATCCTGCTCTCCCCAAATGGGCTCAGGGCTGCTAACAACAGAGGCAAATGCCATAACAAACAGCATAAAACAATCAGTAAATAAAGTGCGGTGCTCTTGATGTTAAATCTTATTACTCCAAGATGGTTTCCATTTATCAACCTAGCCTGACAACGTAAATTCTTCAGTCATCTAGGCATCTTCCCAGGGCCGGCTCACTTATAGGTCTAATCCACCGTCAAAGATGGCAACTCGGTGGTGGCACAATGATGGCGGCAGCTCCTATGCAAAGGCCTGGCATAGACAGCATAGGATGCACACCTGCATTAACCATAGGCTAGACCAAGAAAAGCTAGGTTTTTGTAAAAGATAAGCATTAAATGTATGAAAGTACACAAAAGATATTCATCTAGAAAACAGATACAAGGAAGGGGTGGTTTTTAAAAAATTAATATCACATGCTTTTTTTTAAGTACCCATAAGGTACACTTTTATTGTTTTTCATATTATACACCAACAAACAAACATACAACATAACAAACATCCACTTACACACATAAAACATACAAAGAGATCAGTATATTTTCTTATAACTCTAATACCATATTTAAAGAATTTCTATCAGTTTGCTTAAGTTTCTGTATACTCTTATCTTTTTCCCATAGTTTCTATTTAACTAAAAGAGATTAATAATACCAAAAATTTCATTACTTTAAGCTATGCATTTATATTGTACCAATCATACAGTTTTTTCCACGTCTTTTGAAATGTTGGGTCTGTTGTCCCTCTCATCAACGATGACAGTTTGTCATTTTCAGCCGTCTCCAACAGTTTATTCACATATTCTTGCTTCTTTGGAATATCACAAGGTTTTGATGGGTATAAATCAGTTGGTACCTCATAACCTTTGTGCAAATGATTTATTAATATATATCCTGTTTCCTTGATGGAATTGCTTTCTGGTGCAAGAAAAAAGCAGTATGCCCCTTACTACATTATTGGTTCTGAAAATATAGTTTGAAAGAAGTAATGTACAGGATTTAGGTAATTAAGTGTTGAACATGTAGGAGAGAAATTCACAGTATTTACAATAGTCCAGAAGGTTGGTCAGCTATATATTAGGCTCATCTAGACACTTCCAAACCTTATGTACATTTGAGAAGTATGCATGTGTTTATTTTCCTTGTTGAGTGAGCATGTACATTTGTGAACTCTTCAGATCTAGGGGAAATCTTGAAAGATGATGAATGTGACCCTACACTTATTTGGATACCCTTCTATTCTTCTGTCAACCTCATTTTAATCCATATATCTAATTGCCAAAGTCTGTTTTCCATGTGGATACTTATTTCTGCCAACAGAGGGCTCACTCTCCCCCAACAGCTTTTTCTACAGACTCAGGGGACTCCACTGGGCTGCAGAAAAATCCAAAACTAGGAAAAAACACTCAGGGAAGGTTGAATTCCCCCCAATACCTTTTGAAATTGCCTCTGTAGGGATCTACTCCAGGCATCAATGGTGAGAGATCAGGGTGGGGAGGAAGGCTTCTAACAAGGCAGGGGGAGGGGGAAGGGCCTTTTCCAGGCCTATTTTGGCCTTCGAGGAAGGGAGCCATGGAACCAGGCCTGACAAGGGTTGCCAGTGCCAGGTTGGGGAATTCCTAAAGGTTTTGTGGTAGACTTTAAGGAGAGCTGGGTTTGGGGAAGGGAGAGGCCTCAGCTAGGTGTAATGCCACAGAGTCCACCGTCCAAAGCAGCCATTTTCTTCTCCAGGGAGACAGATCTCTGCTGTCTAGAGTTCAGTTGTAATTCTGGGGGGGGTCTCCAGGTCACACTTGGAGGCTGGCAACCCTAAGCCAGGCAGCAGTCTAGGATTTTTTGGGGGGGGCGACCACCGGCAGGGGATGGCAGTTTAAGGTCGCCAGATCCAGGTTGGTAAACTTTTGGAGATTTGGGGGTGCACCTTGGAGAGGACAGAGACCTCAGTGAGTGGGATACAATGCCACAGAGTCGACCCTCCAAAGCATCCATTTTCTCCATGGGAAGTTATATCTGTAGTCTGGAGATGAGCAGTAATTCCAGACATCCCCAGGTCCCACCTGGAAGCTGGCATCCCTAGGCAGCACCCTCTGGGTAACTTGATACCACCTGATTTGCATGACTCAATTAGGCCCAGCTGCTTGCTACTTTTCAACAGTCATTCACTTAACACTAGAGAAAAAAAGCCGTTTCTCTGCCAGGTCGTTCTTAAAGGTAAACACTCCTGCTTCCAAACAAAATATCAACACAAGATTCTTGCTTGTAGATATATTTATAGTCCACAATTCAAATAAAACAGTCGAAGATATACCAGTTACACAAACTTTTCAGTAATCTTTTCTCAAGACTGGACTTATATTGAAGTCACACCTACAAACTCAATTTCCAGCACTGAAGGCTCTCATTCTCTGGAGTTCAGTTGTGATACCTGGTGATCTTCAGGCTCCACCTGGAGGTTGGCAGGGTCTGCTAGATCTAGGTTCTTGCTGTAGAAGCTGAGTGGGTGATTTTGTACCAGTCAGACTTTCAGCCTAACCTACCTCACAGGGTTGTTCTGCAAGTCAGAAGGGGGAGAGGAGAATGATGTAAGCTGCTTTGGTCCCCATTGCAGAGAAAGACTTATTTTCCTCCTGGGAAAGCATTGTTGCCAACCTCCAGGTGAGGGCTGGAGATCACTCAGAATTACAACTGCGCTCCAGGTGGCAGAGATCAGTTTCCCTGCAGAAAATGGTGGACTTTGTGTCCTTACACCCTGCTGAGAGGCCCCCCCCCATGACAGCCAATGTGACATGGCAGTCAGGGCTTCAGAGCATGGAAGAGGCTGCAGGTGTGGGGGGGAGATGGAAAGCTGAAGAGTGAGGGGTAAATAAAGGTAGGTTGATGGTTGGCTGGGAAGTATATAGGGTTGCCAACTCCAGGTGTGAAATTCCTGGAGATATGAGGGATGGAACCTGGAGAGGGTGAGGTTTGAGGAGCGGTGGGGCCTCAGACAGGTACAATGCCATAGCCTCCACCATCCCAACCAGCCATTCCCTCCTGGGGAACCACTGTTGCCAATCTCAGGAGAGGGGTGGAGATCACTCAGAATTACAACTGATCCCCAGGAGGGAGGGGGGAGGAGATTGAACGCTGAAATCCGAGGGGCAGATAGTGGCAGATTGATGCTTGGCTAGGAAGGTTACCAACTCCAGGTTGGAAAATTCCTTGGACATTTTAGGGGTGGAGCCTGGAGAGGATGGGGCTTGAGGATGGGAGGAACGGCAGACCAGTATAATGCCACAGATTCCACCCTCCAAACCAGCCATTTCCTCCACAAGAACTACCACTGTCCATCTCCAGGTGAGGGCTGGAGATTACCCAGAATTACAACTGTTGTCCAGGTGACAGAGGTCAGTTACCCTGGATAAAGTGGCTGCTTTGGAGGATTGAGTCCATGGCATTATATACTGCTGAGGCTGCTTGCCTCCCCAAGCTTCACTGTCCCAAGGCTCCACCCCCAAATCTCGAGGAATTTCCCAACCTGAAGCTAGCAGCCCTAAGGTGAATTGATCTCTGTGATTCCCAGAGTGCTGCCACTACTGCTGTGAGGGGAGAGGAAGCAGGTGGGTGGCTGGGAGTACCACCACCACTGCTGCTGCTGATTTGAGGGGTGGGAAAGGAAGCAGGCAGGAGGCTGGGAGAGTGATGGGGTGGGGGCAGAAAGAGACTGAGTGAGTGATGAGGTGGGGAGGCAAAAAAACCCAGAGTGATGACAGGTCAGAAAGCGAGAGGAAGTAACATGCATGGAGGAGAGATATAGAGTATGAAAAGGGGAGACAGAAGGGAGAAAGAGGGTGAGAGAGGTCGGGGGAGAGGGGAGGAAGCAAAGGTGTGAGGAATGCGATAACCAGGGGTCATTTGGGGTCGGAGCATGCTGGAGCACTGCTCCAGGAGCCCAGGAGCGGGGACAAATGGTGGTGGTAGCAAGCCCCGCCCCCAAGCTCCTTCTCTTTAGAGTCGCGCCTTAGAAGTGGCCCCATAGAATACAATGGAAAGATTGCACTGCAGTGGCGGCACGACTCCAGAAAGGAGGGGCTTAAAGTCTGGAGTCATGCCACAGCGGCGGTGCGATCTTTCCGTTATATTCTATGGGGCCATAGAAGACAATGGAGAGATCGCGCCGCTCCTATGGCACAACTCTAGAGAGAAGGGGTTTAAACTTTAAACCGCTTCTCTCTTCGCTCCCCCCCGCCCACCTTGGCAGGCTGGCTGGGGGAGCAAAAGGGGGGGGGAGCTTTAAAAGCATCCTCTTGCCCAGCCGGCCTGCCAAGGGGGAGGGACACGAAGAGAGTCCCCGCAGCAGCAGTGCGATCTCTCCATTGTATTATATGGCCCCATAGAATAGAATGGAGAGATCGCTCCTGCGGCACGACTCTAGAGAGAAGGGGTTTAAAGTTTAAACTCCAT